GTGCAGTCACGCACTTCCTGGTCACAAAACGTTCTGCAAATGTGCATATTATGGCAAAAATTATTCATCATTAAATGTGGTTTTAACATTACTTTTATAAAGTTTGAAGTCTGTGCTGTCCAATCCAGCTCACTGGTTTTTACAGAAGCCCTGTGAAAGCATCACAGCTTTGCCGAAAAGAAAAAAAAATCCTGTATCCGCATTGTGATCTGGAACATCACCAAAATTTARAGGTGTGTTCCTTGGCCCAGTACACACATGTGGTAAAAATGTCATGACAATCCGTCCACAAGTTTTTGAGTAATGTTGTCCACAGACAGAACRACACGACCCAAAATATTACCTCGCCCTTGGCGGAGGTAAAAAGCAGGGCCGGCCTTAGCCAGTTGGATGCCTAAGGCAAGATTTCATCTGGTGCCCCTTGTGCAGTTTTCTAAATCTCACTGCCAATTTACATAAATTCACAAAATAAATTAAATTGTTTTGTTTTTGACAATATTTTTATCTTTAGAAACGAGGTTATCAAACTAAAATAGGTACCGGATAATATAATCAATTTCAAACAGAATAACAGAAGTCTACCAATCTGACAGCAATGAGGAACACCTGTGTTAATGAGTAGCTGTGGACTGAAGCAGTTCTAGGGGGGTCTGGGGTTATAATTCCTCCGGAAATTTTTTAAAGGGCAATATCATGTAAAATCAACTTTTTTGAGTTTTATATCATGTTATGATGTTATACTCTCATCAAAAGCATGCTCAGAGTCTTGCTTTGACTCATTCATGCATGTTTGAGGAATCCTGTAGTGTCCTGAGGCAGCCAGGCAGGGGAGCAAAAACCACCGGTTGGGACTAGAACCACCTTTTGGGATCAGCTCCTCCTCTGGGCTGTGTCAAAGTGAAACTGCGTCTGTAGCTCCAATATTGGCAGTTTATCATTTCAGTCCTTTTTGGATTAAACCCCGCTGCACAGGTAAGCTGAAAAACAACTCACACTATTTTGTTCACGTTGTTTGGTCTGTGTGTTAAGATTTGTAACTTATTACAATCAGTATGTGCGTGTCTGTGTGAGCGACTGAAATAATCTTACTGTCCTCTCTGTAATCACTTTGGTTCTTTAGAAAACATACTTTCCAGTCTGACAGTAAGGTTCATATGTATCCAGAGATGCAGTTTTCCAAAACTGATCTTGTATAACGTTGCTGCTTTTTTATTATCATTCCAACAAAGCCCTGCTACGACTCTGCAGCTTGTAAACAGCAGAGAAGCGGCTGTGATGACGTGTTGAAATGGGCCTGACAGGATCAGGAGGTTCTTAAAGAGACAGAGGCCAATTTCAAGGTGTTTGGAAATGGAAATGATGAGAAGTTTATCATTGATTTAAACATAAAAACAGCATTTTAATAACAACTAAAGGTGACATAGTTGTTTTATTATGGTATAGAATTTAAATATATGCCTGGGAAACACACAGAATTGCCCCTTTAAAAGATTTACTCAAAACTCTGTATTTTCCAGCCATTTGAAAAGCATTTTACTAAATTACTGGGATTTAAAAACAACAACATAAAATGTTATTTTACGAGGTTAGAACACTGGAAACCAGACTTTAACCCGACCTTTATCYGAGATCATAACTGAAACTTTCATTATGATCATGTAGTTTCTATTTTCACAAGTCCTGACTGATTCAGATGATGCTTTTCTCATGAAACATCATCTGCTCCACAGGAACAAAGCAGCTGAGAAACTCTCAGAACAAGTTAGCTTCATGAACCTGAGTAACCAGGGATTATTCAACAGATTAAATCAACTAGACTATGATAAAAAGTTATAATTCTTTTATATCACCCATTTGTGGCGCACACTAAATGGACATTTGCCTATACTGCCCATGCCTCGAGCCAGCCCTGACACTAATTACAACTGCTTTATTCCATATGTATTCATAAAAAATAGAAAATCTCATTTCTTTTGTATTTGCTGCCAAGCAGTGAGTGGTAAAAAGAAAATGTACGTATCCTTGTGAAGCTGCATCTTCCCCCACATCTTCTCCAGACAAGCCTGATGTTGAGAGGAAAGCAGTGTAGGACAGAGCTGTGAATGTTCTCACCGCTTCCCAGGCTATTTGTAGAAATGTCAGCTGTCATCAGAAACATCAGCGAGAAGACAAGTGCTGTTCACAACTGTGGTAGGTGAAGGTGTGGAACGAAGAGCGAGAGAGATGTTGAGCTGAAACAGAAAGAAAAAACAGAGTCCTCAGAATGGCCTTCTCAATTTATCACAGTTCAAATAATGAGACACGAAGCTGCAAAATGAAAGACACACAGAAAACACAGAAAGCAGTGATATGTTATACAATTTATTGTCTTTTGAAATTGGGTATGAAGAGAAGGAAAAAAGTTTGCTGCCGTTAAAAACCTAAACCAAACCAATCCCTCTYAACAGAAAATAACAGCTTTTTGTTAAAGGGATCCCCAATTAGTTGTAACATTAGAATTTATTTGATAAACAT